TATCAGAAGCGGGGCCAAAAATCACATAATCACTTCAAATAGATGCGGAAAAAGCCTATGACCAAATCTAATATCCTTTTATGATAAAAACCCTGAAGAAAGGATTGATTGAAGGATCTCTCAATCTTATCAAAGCAATTCTTGACAAACCAATGGCCAGCGTTATAATAAATGGGGAAAAACTAAAAGCTTTCTTTCGAAAATCAGGAATGAGACAAGGATGTCCACTATCACCACTCCTGTAGCCAAAATATTAGCCAAAATAATCAGGCAAGGGAAAGACAAGGAATATGTCTAGAAAAGGAAATCAAATTAACATTTGCAAACAGCATGTTTCTCTACACATTAGACCCAAAAAATTCCACCAGAAGACTCCCAGAATTACAGTAATAACTAAAGTCAGCATGTAGAAAGATACAAAATCAACCCACTAAAATCAGGAGTGTTTCTGTATACCAGTAATGAACTCCCTGAGAAGTTAGGAAAATAAACCATTTACAGTAGCATTAAGAAAAATTAAATAGATAGGAGTTAATCTAACCAAGGAAGTAAAAGACCTCCACAATGAAAACTAGTATAGTACTCTGAAAAAGGAGGTCAGAGAGGATATCAGAAAATGGAAAGATATTCCTGTTCCTGGATAGGCAGAACCAGTATAGTCAAGATGGCCATATTCCCAAAACTGATATACAGATTTAATTCAATCCCAGCCAGAATACCAGCAGCATTCCTCACAGAACTAGAGAAGACCGCCCTAAAATTCACCCAGAATAACAAAAGCAGTCCAGGGTAACAATAGCAAAGCAAGATGCATCGCAGTTCCAGATTTCACATTGTAGAGCTGCAGTGATAAAAACAACATGGTCCTGGCACAAAAACAGATATGTGAATCAGTGGAACAGAACAGAGGATACAGACACATTCAGCTATTTGACCTTTGACATGGAGGCCAAAAACGTGCACGAGGAGAAAGATAGCCTCTTTAACAAATGGTGCTGTCCACATGCAGAAGATTGAATGCTAAACTAAAAATGTATAAAGATGTAAATATTAAAACAGTCTACTGGAAGATAAACTAGTTAACAAACACTGTTAAAGACACAGGCATGGGCAAGGACATTTTGAACTAAAACCTGAGAATGAACAAATGAGATTATATCCAATTGAAAAGCTTTTTCACAGCAAAGGAAACAGTCAACAGAGTGAAGAGTCATACTGCAGAATGGGAAATAAATTTTTGCCAGCTATTCCTCGTACAGAGGGCTCTCTATATATAGAATATAAAGAACTAAAAAACTTACCTCCCTCAAATAAAAGACTCAATCCAAAAATGGGCACTGAAATGAGTAGATACTTGTCAGAAGTACAATGGCCAATAAAATACATGAAAAAATGCCCAATATCTCTGGCCAATAAAGAAAAGCAAATTAAAACAACATTGAGATTCCAGGTTGCTGCAAGAAGGGCTATCAGAAAGCAAATAATTACACATTGAAGAGGCTGAGGGGACAAAGGGACTCTTCTCTTTGCTGGTGGGAATGTACACAGGTGTAACCACTATGGAGATTCCTCAAAAAACTTAAACTAGAAAATCCATTTGACCCAACCATTTCTCCTTCCCCAAAAAGTTAAAAATGTTATATTACAGTGATACATGCATACCCATTTTCATATCAGACCAGTTCACGATAGCTAAATCTTAGAAGTTGCCTGTATGTCCATCAACAGATGAATGGATAAAGTGTGGTATTCATTTATACACAGTGGAGTATAAAGATAGTTATTTGTAGGAAAATGGATATGTCTTGATTCCATAATGTTAATGTGAAATAAATCAGACACACAAGCTTAACTATCACAATGTTTCTCTTATAGGTGAAACCCAAAGTGTAAATAAAGAACAAAAGAAAAGATAGATAATAGGAAGTGGGGAAATAAAATTTTTTTCATGGTGAAGGGGAGCAAAAAAAAAATGGTGGTGGTGGGGTAGCATGGAGGGAAAGGGGATGAGAAAAATTGAGATGTGTTATATATGCATACCAGCCACATGAGGGATATGATCTTTATGAAATGCAAATACATTAATACATTTTTTTTCAGTTTTCATCATTTTAACCACTCCATCATTTCAACAGCTCTCCAGCTAATAAATTTCCTTACTTCTCTTTAGGCTTTTTGCTTCAATTTGTAGTGGTATTTTTGGACTGTAGTTCCCTGATGCATTTGCCCATAGTTAGCTTTTCCATAAGTGAATGTAATTGGTCTCTCTTGTCTTGATGTATCCTAGGTCCTTTTTTTTTTAAATTTTAGTTTTTTGAGATAAGATCTCCCTATGTATTTCAGGCTGGACTTAACCATGCTATGTACCTCAGGTTGGCCTTAAATCTGTGGCAACTTTCTGCCTGAGGAGGGATTACAGGCATGTGCCACTATGCCAAACTTGATGATATACATATTAGATGGTAATTTTTTAACTTCTGCGTGAATATATTTAGGCTTTTTGCCTTATCTTAGTTGCTTTATTGCTAGATTTTCATCAAAATTATATTCTTTTACCTTTGTTGCTACTTTTTAAGAGCTCTAAATTGTGGGTTGATTCTTAAAGTATGTGATTAAGCTATTGAGGTTATTGCAATAATACAGTACTGTGTTGGCTTTCAAACTGTGGCAGAAAATTGGAACAAGGTCAGGAGAAACCTATATATACAGTTTTATTTCTAATAGTCTTATTTCTTTTCTTTTCTTT